GTGAGGTGAAAGCGAAGGGAACGCAGACTGCAATGGCAAAGCCTTCTGACCATCGATTTATATAAAGATAGAGTAAGGTCAGTTTGTTGTGTGTGACCCCTTTATCCTTTCAAGGCTTGGTATACATTCAGGGCTGTCAACCCCCGAAGTATTCAAATATTGAGAATTGATAGGGAAGGGATTGTAGATGACGTCATAACGCACGGCACATGACGTCAGTTGTGCGTAAAATACTCTCCCATCCTCATGAATTTGCGATGACACAAAACGCGCGAAAAAGATGTTTTTGTCTTGTAACGAATGACCTGATTGGTTTTCTTCCCACCAATCACATTTTTATAATGACATACCGGAGCCGTTTATGAGGAAACGTTTAATTTTCTGTGAACATAAAAATAGCTCAAACAACGCAAAATAGTTGAAATTTGATAGTCAGAAAGTCGAGTCTAGTGAAGAAATGGCAAACTTCGGCGAATATCGGGGAGCCGTTTCAAACTCTAATCTGGAGACCTGGAGATACGGTCCAAAATCTGGAGTCTCCCGGATTATCCGGGAGAGTTGCCAGCACTACGTGTCAACTGCTTAGCAGTATGGTCTTCTTCAGGTTATCCTTTGACGTCAGGTGAATACGCAGTGGTCTGGATTGGATTCGTAAAACTTGGACCATAAGCGCACCTAAACAGAAATACACCTCCATTACACTATTTGATTGACCCTTAGTATAAAAAGTAAAAATAATATTGTTATTTACCCCTTCATTGATTTCATGGCTGACAAATGCCTCAATCGCTTTTCTCTCGCGACCAAAACCCCCTTTCCCTTCGCCTTTCAAACGCCTGCCAAGCAGGCTAAGGCGCGTCTTATAAGTAATGCAGTGATTGAACAAGCAATTTATAAATTCCCGTCTCGCTTTTGTTTATTAAATAAATCGATAAGAACTTAAAATTCTCATATTTAAACTGTAAGGAGTACATATAAATTTGCTGTATACAAAATGTTTAGTTCTGCCAGTCCCAGCTGGTCAGTTGAGAACTGGTACCCATTTCAACCATACCATGAACTCCCAAAAAGACACTGCTCCGTTCTCGTCTTTGTCCATCTCCGCAAACGCCTTCTCCATGTCTATAGTCTCATAGCCAAAGAACTTCATCATCTTTTCAAACTGGGCTCGGTCAAGGGTGTCGCTGTGGTCAGAGTCAAAACTCTTGAAGTAACTGAGTGCTTTCGAGAGGTAATGATACTTGGCTTTGTCGTTCAAAATTTCGAAGCGTTCCCCGCTGCGAAGCCAGTCTTGGAATTCTTCAAAGGAGATATTGTGATCCCCATTTTTGTCCAACAGTAGAAAATAGGCCCAGGATTGTTCCTGATTGAGGCCTAGTTCTCCCTCCAGAAGGAACTGAATTTCTTGTTCTTCAAGCCTCCCATTGCTGTTCGCATCGTATTTGTCAAAAAGACTGCGTATGGCGGCTGTCGGAGCTTTTTTGTCAAAATAACTGAATCCTGCTTGCATGCCTCTGAATATTTCTTCAAAGTGTATCAGTATCGCCTTTGGGTTATGATTGTGGCAAATTGAATCCTTGATGATCATATATATGCCCTTGCGACACTTTGAAATTTAACCTTAAAATAAAACCACACGTGAAGTATCTTGGCAAAAAAGATATACGCAAATTCTAATTTTTACCCCATCAAATTTGACTCTAATTTCTGTACCTTGGAGACAAGAAGGACCTTTAAAATATGCCAAGAGTGTTGCAGTTTGCTGCCTGCTGGGTAGAAACAAATAATTTACATGCAAAACACTCGTATTAATATGTTGTTTCACCTCATTAAACAGTATTTAAGCTTATGTTTTTTTCTTTATTTACTCGGTATTTTTTCTTAGAAGAACATGATTTTACTACTTGAGTTCCGGTTTAGTAGTTGTGTATTCAGTTCAAGAAACTCGTGTCGAAACCGTCTTTACGTCAGCAGTGATGCAGAGCGTGCGAGATGTCTACACGTAGGCAACTCAGATCAGTGTGTATTATAAGTATGAGTTTTTCCGTATTAAATTTTTCTCATTTTCTTTTAAAAAAACGCTTCTCTTTTCAGTCGTAAGTAACAAAAACACACTGTAAAAAAGTAAAACCAAAGACAAAAAAAACGTTGACGCGACTCACGTCGACGCAAATTGCGAAATTACTGAATATTTAAAACTTAAACTTCAATGAAGTAGATTGGTGCAGCAATAGTACCAAAAATAATTCGTTTTAATAAACAGATTTCAGCACGTAAAGTTTTCTGTTTTCGATCAAACGGGTTAATCTGATGGAATGTTTTAGACCAACACCAAAGAGAAAGCTGTTTTCCTTGCACAGTCAATCCACCCCCTTTAAAAACAATTTGAAATTTGAAAGCAAAGTCGATGTAAGTTTTGTTTGTTTGTTTGTTTCTCTTCGGTCACTGTTCGGTCAATATCCCGACATCGGAATGCTAACTGAAAATAGCAGCTGAAATAGGGGCAAATGTGCTGAACGGCCGGTGGGACGGTGGAAAGACTTTGAACGTGACTTTGTGTTACTTCAGATTACGTCACAAATAATTTAATGACAGCAGGCATGAAAAAAGCAGTTCCGTCACGCTGATATGGAATGACGGTATGCGCTATTTTTAGAAACATTGCTAATAAAAAGGATTTGCAATTCACATTTTACAAAACCTTTATAAAGCGTGAAAGAGCAAAGTTTCATAAAAGAACGAAGACAACCGAAGTTTCAGTTTAAAAGACGAAATTATTATATCGGTGGAAATGCAGGCAGGCCATTCTTACTTCTCCCGCGATGCTCCAGAAATCGCTATTCACAGCCTTTTCGACAAATACGACCAGGAAAAAAATGGCAAACTCGACAAAGCGGAGCTAAAGGAATTATTAGAAGGCGATTTGGGTTTAAGCCCTGAACAATCTTGTATCTACATGCTGATCTTAGACCACGCTGGCGAACACAACGTAACTTACGAGGAATTTTTCAACTGGCTGCGAAGTGGCGAACGCTTTGAAAACATCAACGACAAGTCGAAGTTCGGAAAATTGTGCAAAGCAGTGGAAATATTTAAAACTTATGACAAGGACGACACGGATACACTGGACAGAAAACAGTTTGAAAGTCTCGTAAAATCTCTTGGATATCGAAAGGTGAATTCAAAGAAACTCTTCAAGGAATTAGACGTGGATCACAATGGGAAACTTTCCTTTTATGAATTTATGAAATGGCTTAATTGGGTTCCAATTGAAGACTTCTAGAAACTCACATAAATCGTTTATGATCATAAGAAATTTAATTTATCACCTGAGTACCTGTTAATTTTATTCTTTCATAGGGGATTTGTTTAAAATATTGTAGGAAAATGTGTATGAAATAGCTCGTATTTGTTCATATCTTTGTATAATTATGATTGCAAGTTTCTGTAAATCTATCGAGGGCTGCATATAAATTATTGTAATAGATGTTAACAATTGTATAGATAGTAATTTTTTTAAAAAATTTTTTGGATTCACATTCTCAAAGGCTGTATACTTGCAATTGAATAAATATTTGAAGCACATTTCTTTATAACCCTCTCGCGAATATTTGTTTTAAGTTTTTCTCGAATGAAAATTACGCCAAACCAAAAAATCAGGCGAACGTGAGCTTTAACTAAATGAACTCTTGCTGTTATGGTAACATATAGCCTTAATGACCACTTGAAATAAATACTCTGACGTCTTTCCCTTTAAAATTTCATAATCCGTATGGAAGTGCGTGATCTTTTAAGCTTTGCCAATACAAGCTGGTGTAGATGATTTCGCAGAAAATGTACTGATAACAAATGTATATAATCACCGGAAGACACTTCGTGAGTTTTGCGGCTTTTTAGCAGCTGGGGCCCGTTTCTCGAAAGTCCCGATAATTAACCGGCTAGTAAAGCTGTAGATGTTTACATGTAAAAAAAAGTTTCAATAGTTTTGCATCTAACATGATAAAACTACCAGTTAGGGAAACAAAATGGACTACGGTAAAATTTCGAAAATAGGCCTCTCCAAATATAAGCCACCCAAACCGGTAATGCAAAAAAACCCTCCGTTAAATCGCCCCTCCAAATATAAGCCCCCCGGGGGCTTGTACTGTAAAACAAAGCAAAAACGGTAAATTTACTTCCAACTATAAGGCTAGCCCAATCGATTTCGAAACACAAATTTCCCTCCGTAGAAAAGACCCCTCAAAAAGGGCTTTTGAAAAATATAAGTCCCGGCCGGGGGCTTATAGCCTGCGTGGCAGGCGTTCGAAAGGGAAGGGGAAGGGAATTAGGGCACGAGACGCGCGCCCGAATTCCCCCTTTCCCTTCCCCCTTTAACGCCTGCCACGCAGGCTACGGGGCTTATTTTCGGCATTTTACGGTATGTTGAATTGCTAGCCAGGCCTACCCGCGCTCTTACTATTTTTATTTCCATTTGAATATTTGATTTCGGCGCCCGAAAAGTTATCGGGACTTTGGAGAAAGGGGCCCCTGCCCCTTTTTTACAAATTTTGCGTCACAATGGAAGGACAGTTGCAGTTCTAGGAAACTTTTATTAAAAAGGGGGTCATATCCGCAATATCTCTGGAGCACTTTTTATTTAGAACTTCAAATAGATGAAAACGAAGTAGTTAAATCGGAGTACCACGCGGAAGTGTTTCCATATCCAGGAAATGTTTGTATAATCCTAAAGTGTCTTAATTAATTCTGAGAAATGCCTTCAAAAAATTCAAATTATTCATCACTCATGAGTCACTGTAGACGTGTGACCATGGAGACCGTAAAAAGACTGGAACGTGGGCTCAACTATAATTATAACAGCTATTTCAGGAGGTTCCATTTCAGGAAGTGGTTGACTGTTCTCAGAAGTGTACGTCCAATTCTAGGAAATGTTAATTCTGTCGTTGTTGTGAATCAGCAATTCCACCAATTTTTCGTACTTTTAAAACTGAACAAGTACTCCAATGGCAACTGTAGAAGGTAAAGGTGAATCGCCAGATTTTTCGCAACCATGGAAATTTAGCGATGTCGTCCTGGTGGTTGCAGCGAAGAAACTTCATGTTCACCGAGCTGTGCTTGCGTTGTGCTCTCCCGTTTCCGAGAAGATGTTTACATCCGAATTTCAAGAAAAAGGCAAGAACGAGATTTCTCTTCCAGGTAAAAAAGCAAATGAACTGATCCAGTTGCTTCAGATCATTTACCCTTCTGTATCAGAGAAGCCAACCGATCAAATAAAAGAGGAGAATTGTCGCTTTTTGTTACAGCTTGCGGATGAGTACCAAATGGACGCTATTGTTCGGAGATGCGAAGATTACATTGTCACTACGTTGAAGAGAACGAGAAAAGGAATAATTGAAGAGCTGATATTTGCTCAGACATACAACTTACAGAAGCTGAAGCGGACGAGCCTTGAACTGGCTAAAGATCTTAGCCTTCAAGAACTCAAACGTAACAAATTATACGGCAAAATCAATGCAGAGAACCTGCAAGGAATTTTGGAAGAAATAATAATCCGGCTTGAGAAAGAAGTGAGCTCATTGCAATTGAACAACTTGAGTGTTAGCCAGGGTAATTGGTTGATCGAAAGTCCGTAAAAACCACGAGAAAATAAACAAAACATCAACAATTTAATTTCATCTTACTTGCTCCAAAAATGTGATGAGCTGGCAGAAACGCAAAAACCCTCGTGCTCGCTAGAACAAAACTGCGCATGCACTGAAATATGTCACAGGTCAACCACTAAAATATTCTCCAGAACATGGGGCCAGAAGCGTTCTGCACGCGAGTGAAAAGATTGGCAGTAAACTTTAAAAAAAATAATACTTCACTGAAAGTAAGTAAATCTGTACTCTTGAATCGCAAGGTTTTTTCAACAAAACGTTGACAAAGAAATGACCGTAAGAGCTATTGTTTTCAAGTTCCTGGGAGAACTGTATATTTCCGCGAGCAACTAAGGCAAATTATGGGAGTCGATAGTTGAAAGTAAAATTCCTAAATTATATCAAACGAATTGCATATAAATGCAAATAAATAATATTTGTCTTTGTATATGGTACAAATGTTCCTTTTTGTTCTAGCCAGTTTACGGGTACCTCACTCAAAACAATTGCGGCAAGCTAAATGATCTAAACTTAATGAAACATAACCATTGTTAAAAGCCCCTAGTTTGCAAGAGGCAACCAGTTCGTTCTTTGCAAGCAAGCCTGAGAAGTGAAACTTAGGATTGCCGAGAACCGGAATCGTGCTGGTGATCTGAGGGGGTTTCGAGCGCGGGACAATGGGATTGCTAGTCCAACATGCTGACCACCTAGCAACGCAGACACCCCCAACTACCCTTAATGCCGTAAATATTACGTTCTCAAAACAGTTAGCCGATGAGCAGCTCAAATATATCCCAAGTGAGCAGTCAAGTCGTGTAATAAAGTAAAAGCGCACGTTTTATGGCCTATTTACAAGTGTAAACAACTTCGAACGGCTCTATAAAAATTTGAACAAGCAATAATAATATCTGTTCCAATTTTATCCGTTCGTTACCAAAAAGGATCCACAAGCGCCCATGCTCCGCTTACAGAATAGAAGGCTTGAAAATCAAATTTAGTATCACCAACAAAACAAGCAGTTATCGCCTGTCCCAAAAATATGTCTATATTGCTGGCTAGACTCTTAAGACGATGAACCGGCGAATGAGTAGACGCCTTTTTTCCTCCAATGTCCCCCCCACCCCAACTCCAACCGAGGGCTCTCTTAAAGAGCCCTAACTCTTTTCACCTTTTGTTTGCAAATTATGTTCCAGAATCAAAACGAACACTACGTGTTCTCTATCTCCACCAAGTCTATTAACTTTAAAAAAGCAAGAAAGACGGCAGGGCCGAGTTGTTCAAAGCTGGGTTAAGATAACCCAGGGTTAGTGAGAGATTTCAATTCAGATTTGAAAGCTTAAAAAGCATTTCAGTTTCAGTTCTTTTTGTCTACAAGTTGATGACTGGAAGCTCTAAAAATCGCAGAGATAATTATCCGAGAAAATGCTTTTGAAACCAAGAAAAAGAAACCGGATTAAGCGCTAATCGGCTTTCGAACAACTGTGCCCAGGGCGCTACAATTTATTTCGTCGACACATTGTAAGAAATTCTACGTGGAACAATGGTATTTCATTCTGACTTTACATGGAGAAGTTGATCCTTTCTTACTCCACAGTGCATTATAGAAATAATAAAAGATACAAACAACGAACACAGCAAAGTTTCCTGATGTTTCGTACACTAACTTTGGGGAGAATACACTCCAGACGAGCAGCAGGCGATGCCGCTGACAGAATTCCAATGTAAGAGTGATGACGTAACGCGCTTGGTAAAGAGATTCTGCAACCTATAGAAGGTAATGGACCAATGAAAAGTTCCAGGCTAAAAGATCTATCAAACGAACTAGGAGGAGTCACTATCCATTACATGCAACACAAGTGCTTCAAAGTGGACTTCTCGAATTTAAGAGATCAGTACAAAGTTACGTCAGTCTTCTAAAATCTATACCCAGTTCCACTATACCCAGTGAAAGGAAACAAGTTCAGTGCTCAGAGCTAGAGGATATGGTGCCTTGAGTACCCACAGCTTTACAGAGATCATAAAATAGATCCAAGCGGGTTAGAGAGGACCCTGGGAACGAGGCTAGCCATATCACGTGTCCCCAAGGCCTCGAGGATCCTACGTTCCGCGTCAAATTCGTTTTCGGTCCTTTGCATTTTTAATATCAATTTAATCCCAGTTATAATTTGTTGAAATACTTCCGGGAAACACAACATGAACTTAGTCGTTTCATGAATTCACGCATTGCTTCCCTGGCTCCTTCGCGAAAGGGAAGGGAAAGAAAAATTCCGCAAGCTTTTCAACAATTATGACCGGGACTGCAGCCCGAAACCAAGAAGATGTTAGATCTTGTCATGAGTGATTTGTTTTTAATTTACTTCCATGCAGGAGGTAATAACGGAGAAATTTTGATTTCCTGGAATTGTGTGTAAATCTGAGAAATGTTTACAATACTGGGATGTATTTTTAATTCTGGGAAACGCTCTTTTTAATGCTGAATTAATCATGAGCTACTGTATAGTAACCGTCTGGTGGAAACTATAATCATCAATGTTAATCATCCTCCTTCAATGTTGTGAAATTAAGTCTGTCAAACGTTTTTAGCATTGGGTTAACTTTTAATCCACCAATGGCAGATAAAGAAAGTAACTGTGAACCTCAAGATTTTACACAGCCATGGAAATTTAGCGATGTCATTCTCGTGGTCGAAGGTGAAAAACTCCATGTTCACCGAGCTGTGCTTGCCTTGTGCTCCCCCGTTTTCGAGACGATGTTTACGTCCGAATTTCAGGAAAAAGAGAAGAAAGAAATTTCCCTTCCCGGCAAAAAGGCTAACGAAGTGAAGGAGTTGCTTCAGGTTATTTACCCTACTGTAGAAAGGAAGCCACCCGATGAAATAAAAGACGAAAATTGTCACTACCTCTTAAGCCTCGCACATGAATATCAAATGGCAGCCATTACTCAGAGATGTGAAGACTTCATTGTCAAAATAATGAAGGAATCGTTTTCAGTGAAGAAGGATCCGGATATCATTGCAGAGCTGGTATTTGCACAGACGTACAACTTAAAGAAGCTAAAGCAGGCAAGCATTGAACTGGCTCAAAGTCTTGCTCTTCCAGAGTTGAAAAAGCAAAAAGGTTACGATGAAATCCGTTCAGAGAATCTTCAGGAAATTATGGAAAGAATGATAACACGGCTACAGAGTCAATTGACTGACACTCAGACTAAATTAAGTGAAGCTAAGCGGTCTCTATCTTATTTCCAACTGCGATAAAAGACCTCATCAGATTACTGGTTGGACTGGAGGAAAATATTGCACAGGGGCACACAGCGTCAATTTTTGGAAAATATTTGTTCTGTAGACGATTTGAGATCTAGAATTTTCGGAACATTTTTGTGTAAAATTTCTTGCTTGCCTGCCTCTCCAAGGATTTTCGAACATCTAAAAAATTGGTATAATTGGCCATTTTTAACGGATTTTTACCCTAAAAAGATCATCTAAGTAGTCTAGTGTGTTGAAAATTAAGCCTCATTGGTGGATTCCCTTTGGATTCCCTCGCAAAAAGTGGATTTCCTTCATTACATAATATGCAGGATTCCCTCCTTACGTAGTAAGTGTCTTCCTCCATATCTAATTATGTGGATAGTCGTTTCTTTTCTTTTGAAAGAACACAATAGGAACAATAGGCTTGCCTAGACTTGTCCGGTAAGTAACTTGAGCCCGGTTTACCGGAATGTCTATTACACCTAGCAACGCGAGAAACGGCTTACTATATCTTATTTAGCGTTTGAAAAAAATCGGATACATCAACAGAACACATACACAAAGTGGTGCTGAAAAGTCTTTATTTCAATTTTGTCTGACAATTACAGATCTAGAACCGTTTTTTCCTGTCTATCTCGAGGACATGAAAAACGATTAAAGTCTTGTCATTTTCACGCACTGTTAGTCAGTTAATTGTGCGACTTCACAAGCCCAAAGTTGAATACAAATTAATTCATCTCTACAGCTAAACCCAAGGGAGCACCTTGACGTAAAATCTAAACAATTTTCTTTACGCAGTTTTCAATGGAATCAAACCACTATGAGATGAAGCCGCGTTTCCAAAGCTTATCATTTTCTTAAAGAATTAGCTAATTGTGTGGATAGCATGCTATTTCACTGTTTTTATGATGCTTAAAACTTCGTTTCAAAATATTTCGAAAACGCTCTCATAGAATTTTTTCAAACTTTGACGTAATTGAGGCAATTATGTCAGGTACAAACTCCCTTAAGCGATTTCTTAAAAAAACCCTTGGTACAGAGAATGACAAAGATAAATAAAAAACGTAATGGCGTCGTTACGTTGCCATGGCGACTCCGATTGCAATAAAATCCAGATCATAAGAAATTTTCATCTTTATATAATACAGTTGTGGTAACCTTTTTCCCATATCTTTACTCATGGCAACGTATTTAATGCTCAAACTTGGGAGGTATCCCCCCCAAAAAATCCAGTCGAGCCACCTTAGCAAGGATCAATTAAAACACGCGACTAATAATTGCTAGCAATAAAACCACAAGAGAGATACCGTTTTAAAAACTTTATTGAAAACCAATAACGAAAAGAGTCAAATACACAGCGATTTGAAAGGGAAAGAACGAAAATTAATCCTTTGACTGACCATTAAAAATCCGTTTTTTGCATTCTATCTCGAGGAGTAATATATAATCCTTCCGTGTCTACACAATTTCCCTATGGACTCTAAGCCAAGAGTTCGACTTTCTTTGTTTCTCGCGCTTTGTCTTGTTCTTTGTAGTCGATCTTTTAGCTTCATTTCTCTGTGATCTGGACAGTTCGTACACCGTTTCTTGTGTCTGTACTAGACTGCGATAGTGTTTTTTTCCGGAATTATCCGCTTCACTTTCGTAAACGACGACCTCAACTGTAGGTTGCAGTTTCGCCTCTTGTAAATACTGTCTTCACTGTATGTGGTCTAACTGATGAACATCCGCGAGATGGTTAGCTAATCTGACAAGGTACTTCGCCCCTCAAGATGAAATCGGACAGTTCTTAGCCTTCAAGAACTCAAACCTAACAAATTATACGGCAAAATCAATGCAGAGAACCTGCAAGGAATTTTAGAAGAAATAATAATCCGGCTTGAGAAAGAAGTGAGCTCATTTAAAGTTCCGAAGCATTCGGCACGCGAGTGGAAAGATTGGTAGTAAACTTTAAAAAAATGATACTTCACTGAAAGTAAGTAAATCTGTACTCTTGAATCGCAAGGTTTTTTCAACAAAACGTTGACAAAGAAATGACCGTAAGAGCTATTGTTTTCAAGTTCCTGGGAGAACTGTATATTTCCGCGAGCAACTAAGGCAAATTATGGGAGTCGATAGTTGAAAGTAAAATTCCTAAATTATATCAAACGAATTGCATAAATGCAAATAAATAATATTTGTCTTTGTATATGGTAGAAATGTTCCTTTTTGTTCTAGCCAGTTTACGGGTACCTCACTCAAAACAATTGCGGCAAGCTAAATGATCTAAACTTAATGAAACATAACCATTGTTAAAAGCCCCTAGCTTGCAAGAGGCAAGCAGTTCGTTCTTTGCAAGCAAGCCTGAGAAGTTAAACTTAGGATTGCCGAGAACCGGAATCGTGCTGGTGATCTGAGGGGGTCTCGAGCGTGGGACAATGGGAAGTGCTAGTCCAACATGCTGACCACCTAGCACGCAGACACCCCCAACTACCCTTAATGCCGTAAATATTACATTCTCAAAACAATTAGCCGATGAGCAGCACAAATATATCCCAAGTGAGCAGTCAAGTCGTGTAATAAAGCAAAAGCGCACGTTTTATGGCCTATTTACAAGTGTAAACAACTTCGAACGGCTCTATAAAAATTTGAACAAGCAGTAATAATATCTGTTCCAATTTTATCCGTTCGTTACCAAAAAGGATCCACATGCGCCCATGCTCCGCTCACAGAATAGAAGGCTTGAAAATCAGATGTGGCATCACCAACAAAACAAGCAGTTATCGCCTGTCCCAAAAATATGTCTATATTGATGGCTAGACACTTGAGACGATGAACCGGGAAATGGGTAGACGCCTTTTTCTACTCCAATGTCCTCCCCCCCCCTCCCCCAACTCCAACCGCGAGCACTCCTTAAAGAGCCCTAACTCTTTTCACCTTTTGTTTGCAAATTATGTTCCAGAATCAAAACGAACGCTACGTGTTCTCTCCGGGGCGCTACAATTTATTTCGTGGACACATTGTAAGAAATTCTACATGGATCAATGGTATTTCATTCTGACTTTACAGGGAGAAGTTGATCCTTTTTTACTCCACAGGGCATTATAGAAATAATAAAGCCTACAAACAACGCACACAGCAAAGTTTCCTGATGTTTAGTACAATAACTTTGGAGAGAATACACTCCAGAGGAACAGCAGGTGATACCGCTGACAGAATTCCAGTGCAAGAGTGATGACGTAACACGCTTGGTAAAGAGATTCTGCAACCTATAGAAAGTAATGGACCAATGAAAAGTTCCAAGCTAAAAGATCTATCAAACGAACTAGGACGAGCCACCATCCATTAGATGCAACACAAGTGCTTCAAAGTAGACTTCTCAATTAAGAGATCAGTACAGAGTTGCGTCAGTCTTCTAAAATCGATACCCAGTTCCAGACCGAAACCATTTTTTTTGTGTGTAGTGCGGGAAGCCAGTTGTTTTGGTGTCAGTCGCAGGCTGACAGATGAAAAGTCTCTGGCAATCAAAGTAGACCAAACAGCCCATAAATATGTATGAATATTCGTGTAATCATTTTATTTTTTAACCTAGGTCATAATCCAGGGGCGGTGCCTCGCATGGGACGTTAGTCCCGTTGCACCCACCCCTTTTGGGTTTTTGCTTCTTTTTTTTGTGTGTGTGTGTGTGTGTGTGTGTGTTGTATTACAAATTTATATTGTATTCACTAGAGGAGCACCCAATAAAGCTGTAAAAAACAACGACAAAAAATTACACCCTTCGACGTCGTCAAAACCTGTATGGCTTAAACGCGGAAGCGCTCTAGTACTAGGTTTTAACTAACAACTTTATATATTCAATCAGTGAGATAGGACATCGGCAAAGAACGTCCCAATACTGCTGTTGTTATTCCCTGATCTTTTTTCTCAGTATTACTGAATAAAAAAAGTCCTTGATCTCCTGTCAAGTGAACTGGTGTGAAAGTAACTTTAAATACCTTGCTTCATCCCTGGCGTTTCTTATAACAGACAAGATTCCAGCCATCAGCCACAGACATGGACCCCAATAAGTGGCTACATATGTGAGAGGGATCGTAATACAGGGTACGAAATCCTCTAGCCCCACATAGCCCGCAGAAATATCCACCGAGGACGGCTGTTTCAAGGGAAAAGTACATCGCATGGCCCATCCACAAGGAACTGAGGGTAACGATCTACGACTTCTCTTGGAGAAAATGTAATAAACAATAAGAAATAACAAAACAGCAAGAGTTCATGATGTAATGAAAGAACTTGTCAAATCTCAAAAGCAAGATTAACTGAATCAATTTGCTTCACAAGCAACAGAGTTCGCGAAGGAGTCTTATAAATAATTCAAACCTCACCCATAAAAAAAAAACAAGATGTTGAAGGGACACCAAAGTTATAACATTCCAAAATCAAACAAGAAAGTGTTGCGCATCATTTCAGTTTGTTTGTGCGTTTATTGAAAAATTGCCACTTAACATTGCTAGATCATAGTTTTTTTGCAATTGCTTTGATGTTGACCTTCAAAAATGCATCAATTTAATTACCTAGAGGAGTACTCAACAAATGTTTATAAGGGGAGGCTCCCTGGGCATGGAGCTGAATGACCTATATAACTTTTTAAAACGCTATTTTTGCACAAAATATTATATCAATGTCTGAATTAAGACCGTTTGGTTGTATATATATTTTTTCATGCTAGCAGAAATGATGTATGAAGTCCACAAAGAGTTTGTAAATGCTGCACGAAGGGAAACAAGTTCATTGCTTAGAGCTAGAGGATATGATGCCATGACTACCCTCAGCTTTACAGGGATCAGAAAAGAGATCCAAACTCTATGTCCCAAATAATTCAGTTTCCTCTCTCCGTAGTGCGGGTAGGAGAGGACCCTGGGAACGAGGTTAGCAATATCACGTGTCCCCGAGGCCTTGGGGATCCTACGTTCCGCGTCAAATTCGTTTTCGGTCCTTTGCATTTTGAATGTCAATTTAATCCCGGCCATAATTTGTTGAAATATTTCAGGGAAACATAACATAAACTTGATCGTTTCATGACCATTCACGTATTGCTTCCCTCCCTCTCCTTCCCGAAAGGGATGGGAAGGAAAAAGTTGCAAGCATTTTAACAATTACGACCGGGACTGCAGTTTGAAACCAAAAAGATGTTAGATCTTGTTGCGGTGCCGGACTCGTTTTCAATTTACTTCCATGCGGGAGGTAATAGCGGGGAGAAATTGTGATTTCCTGGAATTGTGTGTAACTCTGAGAAATGTTTATAATACTAGGGTGTATTTTAATTCTGAGAAACGCTCTCTCAAACGCTGAATTAATCATGAGCTACTGTATAATAGCAGTCTGGTGGAAATCATCAATATTAATCGTCCTCCTTCAGCGTTGTGAAATTAAGTCTGCCAAACGTTTTTAGTATTGGGTTAACTTTGTAATCCGCCAATGGCAGATAAAGAAAGTAACGGTGAACGGCAAGATTTTACACAACCATGGAAATTTAGCAATGTCGTTCTCGTGGTTGAAGGTGAAAAATTCCATGTTCACCGAACTGTGCTTGCCTTGTACTCCCCCGTTTTCAAGGAGAAGTTTATGTCCGACGAATTTCAGAAAAAAGGGAAGAAAGAAATTATCCTTCCCGATAAATTTAAGGCTAACGAGGTGAAGGAGTTGCTTCGGATTATTTACTTATACCGTACTGAAAAAGGGATCCCGCTTGATGAAATAAACGAGGAAAATTGTCACTACCTCTTATGCCTCGCACAAAAACATCAAATGGAAGACATTACTCAGAGATGCGAAGAATTCATGTCAAAATAATGAAGGAATCTTTTTCAGCGAAAAAGAATCCGGATATCATTGCAGAGCTGGTATTTGCACAGACGTACAACTTAAAGACGCTAAAGCAAGTAAGCATTGAGCTGGCCCAAAGTCTTACTCTTCAAGAGTTGAAAAAGCAAAAAGATTACGATAAAATCAGTTCAGACAATCTTCAGGAAATTATGGAAGGAATGTCAAATAAGTGAAGCACCTCATCAGATTTCTGGAGCATCACAACTTTAATTTTTCTTTTTAGGGGCCCCCAACGGGAAATTTTGAGGAAAAGACCTAAAAACAACAACAAAGCATGATTAAAGTTTTCTGAAGTCATTTTAAGCATCTAGGGAGATTGCTGGGGAAAATTTTATCTGCTCTTTAATTTACTCCCAACAAGACTGATGGAAGAGTTCCCAGCCAGTATGGTGCACCTACAACCTGGAACCTGACTTACCGCGAAGTTTCCTAGCAGACTTATCTCCAGATATTAGGGACCAGTTTGGTTGTGGCCAAAGGACATGATTCAGACCGTAAGTGGGAGGGGAGGGGGGTTTAGGAAAGATCGGTGTGGCAAAAAGGGCGACATTTTCGCTTTCAGTGAAGGAGGGGCGGAATTTCTGACAAAAATCTATGTCACCTATTCTAGACATCAATTCCCCTCAGACACCAACAAGTATCTTTTTCCCAGCAAAACTTTCCGTCCCGGAACATATAATTTCTTCTAAATCTTCCAGCCAGCAAAAATTGGCCTGAAGAACAGATATTTTGAGGAACAGATCCATTGGGTGTCCCTGTTTTTCATTTGCATGCACTTTACACTGACTAAATAAAATACCAGTTTTAGCCCGTGGGGGAGGTACTCATGAGTGCCTTGATCGCCACTTATTTCACAGGGCGCCAAGACTCACAGCAGCCTACTGAAAGCCAAATTATAGGGATTTGGATAGGGAACCTACACTCTTATTTGTAAACTGCACATTGATCATTAAATGGGAGATAAACACTTACCTGTTCTGTTCTTGAATCTGTTGCGGGGCGAAGTGAAATGGAAGTGGGTATATATAAGAAATTGCTCGTTTAAGTGAAAAGACCATTTCTAATGCGCTCTTAGTGAAATAAAACAAAGCATTAAGCGAAAGTCTTGCTTCGAGTTGCTTTGAGGAACGTTCATCCATGACAGCCTTGTTTCACTTTGAAGCACTTTATCAGATCGCTGGAGCATCACAACGTTAATTTTTCTTTTTAGGGGCATCCAACTGGAAATTTTGAGAAAAAGACCTAAAAACAACAACAAAGCATGAATAAGCATTTTGGGAGATTGCTTGGGCAAATTTTATCTGTTCCTCACTCCCAACAAGACTGATGGAAGAGTTCCCAGCCAGCATGCATGGTGCACCTACAACCTGCAACCTGACTTACTGGGAAGTTTCCCAGCAGAAGTATCTCCAGACATTACTGGCCAGTTTGGTTGTGGCCAAAGGACATAATTCAGACCTTAAGTGGGAGGGGAGTGCGGTTTAGGAAAGATCGGTGTGGCGAAAAGGGCGATTTTTTCGCTTTCAGTGAAGGGGGCGGGGGCGGAATTTCTGACAAAAATCTGTCACATATTCTAGACATCAATTCCCCTCAGACACCGACAAGTATCTTTTTCCCAGCAAAACTTTCCGTCCCGGAACATATAATTTCTTCAAAATCTTCCAGCCAGCAAAAATTGGCCTGAAGAACAGATATTTTGAGGAACAGATCCATTGGGTGTCCCTGTTTTTCATTTGCATGCACTTTACACTGAATAAATAAAATACCAGTTTTAGCCCGTGGGGGAGGTCCTCATGGGTGACGTGATCGCCACTTTGTTCACAGGGCGCCAAGACTCACAGCAGCCTACTGAAAGCCAAATTATAGGGATTTGTATAGGGAACCTACACTCTTATTTGTAAACTGCACATTGATCATTAAATGGGAGATGAAAAATTACCTGTTCTGTTCTTGAATCTGTTGCGGGGCAAAGTGAAATGGAGTGGGTATTTATAAGAAATTGTTCGTTTAAGTGAAAAGAACAATTTCTAATGAATACCCGCTTGCCGTCTTAGTTAAATAAAACAAAGCATTAAGCGAAAGTCTTGCTTCGAGTTGCTTCGAGGAACGTTCATCCATGACAGCCTTTAGACACTAATCGCCTTTCTTTCGATTATTACTCTTTTCCATAATTCGTGCCTTTTTATAATTTATTTATCTTTGCCGTAAAAATTGTTGTTTTGCCATATCTTGAAATTTTAATTTTGCTGTCAACCACGTGACGTCATTTTCCCGCCGAAAAACGTTAAAATCGAAAAACAAAAAAATATAGGATTTTTGGAATACAAAGTTCTACCATCCTGCAAAGTTTGAGCTCAAACGAATAAAAAGGCAAAAGTAGTTCCTACCCCATAATATTTTGCGTCCTATACGCCCACCGTGGTTATGTGTGACGACTCGTTTTCAATTTACTTCCAGGAGGTAATAACGGAGAAATTGTGATTTCCTGGAATTTGTGTGCAACTCTGAGAAATGTTTATAATACTGGGATGTATTTTTTTAATTCTGAGAAACGCTCCTTTAAACGCTGAATTAATCATGAGCTACTGTATAATAACCGTCTGGTGGAAATCATCAATATTAATCGTCCTCCTTCAGCGTTGTGATATTAAGTCTGCCAAAAGTTTTTAGCATTGGGTTAACTTTTAATCCACCAATGGCAGATAAAGAAAGTAACCGTGAACCTCAAGATTTTACACAACCATGGAAATCTAGCGATGTCGTTCTCGTGGTCGAAGGTGAAAAACTCCATGTTCACCGAGCTGTGCTTACCTTGTGCTCCCCCGTTTTTGAGACGATGTTTACGTCCGAATTTCAGGAAAAAGAGAAGAAAGAAATTTCCCTTCCCCACAAAAAGGTTAAAGAAGTGAAGGAGTTGCTTCAGGTTATTTACCCTACTATAGAAAGGAAGCCACCCGATGAAATAAAAGAGGAAAATTGCCACTACCTCTTAAGCCTCGCACATGAATATCAAATGGCAGGCATTACTCAGAGATGCGAAAACTTCATTGTCAAAACAATGAAGGAATCTTTTTCAACGAAAAAGGATCCGGATAACATCGCAGAGCTGGTATTTGCACAGACGTACAACTTAAAGAAGCTAAAGCAGGCAAGCATTGAACTGGCTTAAAGTCTTACTCTTCCAGAGTTGAAAAAGCAAAAAGGTTACGATGAAATCTCTCCACAGAATCTTCAGGAAATTATGGAAAGAATGATAACACGGCTACAGAGTCAATTAAGTGAAGCTAAGCGGTCTCTATCCTATTGCGATAAACGACCTCATGAAATTGTTGGTTTTACTGGCCCGGATGAAAATATTGCATCCATTCAAGAACCAAGCAGGTCATCACAACGTTAATTTTTCTTTTTAGGGGCATCCAACGGGAAATTTCGAAAAAAAAGACACAAAAACAACAATAAAGCATGAATAAAGTTTTCTGAAGCCATTTTAAACATTTTATGAGATTGCTGGGGAAAATCTTATCTGTTCCTTGCTAACAATATCATCATCAAATCCTGTATTTTGAATCCGCTTCCCACCACCCTCCTGAAGCAGCAGTTCGATTTACTTTTACCAATTATCCTGAAGATTGTCAACTTGTCACTGGAATCCGGTCATTTTCCGTCTTCTTTGAAAACTGCTGTTCTATCTCCACAACTTAAGAAAGCCAACTTAGATCATGAAGTTCTTGCAAACTATAGACCTATTTCAAACCTCAAGCTAATCTCAAAAATTATTGAAAAGGTCGTCGCAGTACGTCTTCAAAAATATTTAGGAGCTAACCAGCTAAAAGAGCCGCTACAATCTGCCTATAAACCTTTCCAGAGTTGTGAAACCGCCCTTGTGCGCGTTCATAATGACATTTTGGTTACTATTGATAAACGTCACTGTGTTATGCTTCTACTGTTAGACCTGTCTGCTGCCTTCGACACTGTGGATCACGATATCCTCCTTACAAGATTGCACTCTAAATACTCTATCCCTGGCGTAGCTCTTGAATGGTTTCGCTCCTACCTTACTAATAGCTCGCAATTTGCGTTAATCGAAGGGTGTAGATCGCAGTCTCGCGAGATGAAGTGCGGTGTATCTCAAGGTTCTGTCCTTGGACCGATTCTGTATGTACTCTACACAGCACCACTGGCCGACATTCTACGATTCCACGAAATGCAATTTCACTTTTACGCCGATGACACTCAATTGTATATTTCTTTCCCTACAAACAACGACATGGAATTAACCAACAGTATCACTAAGACTGAGGAATGCCTGTCCGACATTGATAAGTGGATGTCCATCAACAGACTAAAACTAAACAAAGACAGTACCGAGCTTCTCCACTTTTTCTCAAAGTATAATTCACAACAATCCCTACCCCCTCTTCGCTTTGGAACTGACATAATTAAGCCCTCTCCACATGCAAGAAACATTGGCGCTATATCTTCGATACCACTATGTCTATGCTTCCCCATGTAAACAATGTTTGTAAATCTGCCTTTTATCATCTTCGCACCATTTCGCACATAAGGAAATACTTATCAACGCAAACTACTGAGATTCTTATCCACGCCTTCGTAACTTCCAAACTCTATCACTGCAATTCTCTACTATATAATGTCCCTAAAAGCGTCATCAAAAAGCTTCAATCGGTGCAGAATGCAGCTGCCAGGCTGATTACACCTTCAACGAAGTGTGATCACATCACTCCCGTCCTCCTCGATCTTCACTAGCTACCTGTCTCCGAACTAATTAAATTCAAGATTCTACTACTTACCTTCAAAGCTCTGCATCAGCAATCTCCAACCCACATTCAAGACCTTGTCACCCGCTACTTACCTTCTAGATCGCTTCGGTCATCTTCTACGCTCAGTCTGAATACTTTTAGCTTTAACCGTTAAGACCTATGGATCTAGAGCATTCTCTGTCTCAGCCCCCGAACTTTGGAACAAACTACCTGACGACATACGCTCATGCGAGAATCTAAGTCTTTTTAAGCATAACCTTAAAACCTACTTTTTTAAGAACTTTTACTTCAGTCATTAGGAAGATGTATTTGATTTTATATGTGTTTTATTTAAATTTGAATTTATGTATTTGAATTAACTTTTAATTCTAATTTTTTCACTTTGTTAAGCGCCTAGATCTATTACTGGATAGGCGCTATATAAATGTTCTTCTTCTTCTTCTTCTTCTTCTTATTATTATTATTATTGTTCCTCACTTCCAACAAGCCTGATCGGCATGATGGAAGAGTTCCCAGCCAGCAAGGTGCATCTACAACCTGCAACCTGACTTACTGGGAAATTTCCCACCAGACGTATCTCCAGACATTACTGGCCAGTTTGGTTGTAGCCAAAGGGCATACAGTGGAACCCCGCCTTACGACCACCCCGTTTTTAAGACCACCTCGTTATTACGGCCATATTCTTTCAAACCAAACGTAAAAACCATTGAGTCATTTTATTATTTTGAAGACCTCGTTAATGCGACCACCTCGTTATTACGACCAGGATTTTATGGCCCAACGGTGGTCGCATTAACGTGGTTCCACTGTAATTCAGACCTTTTAAGTGGGAGGGGAAGAGGGGGTTAGGAAAGATCGGTGTGGCCAAAAGGGCGACATTTTCGCCTTCAGTTAAGAGGGGAGGGGGAGGGGGGAGCTTCTGACAAAAATCCATGTCACCTATTCTAGACATCAATTGCCCTCCGACACCAACAATTATCTTCATCCCGGCAAAACTCTCATTCCCGGAACATATTTTTTTCTTCAAAATCTTCCAGCCAGCAAAAATTGGCCTGAAGAACAGATATTATGAGGAACAGATCCATTGGGTGTCCCTGTTTTTCATTTGCCGTGCACCTTACACTGAATAAATAAATTACCAGTTTTAGCCCGTGGGGGAGTTACTCATGAGTGCCTTGATCGCCACTTAGTTCGCAGGGCGCCAAGTCTCACAGCAGCCTACTGAAAGCCAAATTATAAGGATTTGCATAGGAAACCCAAACTCTTATTTGTAAACTGCACATTGAAATTAAATGGGAGATAAAAACTTACCTGTTCTGTTCTTTAATCTGCTGCTGGGAAGAGTGAAAAGAAAGTGGGTATTTGGTAAGAAATTGCTCGTTTAAGTGAAACGAACAATTTCTAATGAATACCCACTTGCCGTCTTAGTTAAATAAAAAAGCATTAAGCGAAAGTCTTGCTTTGAGTTGGCTTCGAGGAACGTTCATCTATGACAGCCTTTAGACGCTAATCGCCTGTCTTTTGATTATTACTTTTTTTCATAATTCGTACCTTAATTGAATACCGCTTGAATGAAGTTTAATGCGCCTTTTTTATATTTTCTTTATCTTTGCCGAAAAAATTTATAAATACGAAAGAGTTCTCGTTTCTTCCACCGACAGACTAGTAGCTTTTCCAGCCCGAGTTAGCTTTTTTTTTAAAAAAAAGGTTTAAAGTTGTTCTAACGTTTATAATTTGCAGTCTATGAAGTCTAACGCACATTTTTCGGTGAATGCACCCCTGAGCATCTGTGTAGGTTTAAGCAATTTATAGTACAAGACTCGTCCACACCCCGGGGGATTTGACAGCTCCAGAGTCCCTACCCCCGGGAATTTGCCATCCAAGGCAAAAAAAATGCCAATGCCCCGGGGTCAGCCCGGGGGGGGGGGGTGGGCGCAGGTGGAATTGACTGATGCATTAGTATTTCCTTGGTGACTAAAACAGAAGGGTCATATACTGAATTTATTAATTCGTGGCATTCCTGACACCCGGAAGGAAACAAGATAAAAGAGCGAGGCAGAATTAACCAAAAGAACGAGTTTACAGAGAAAATTAAGGTAAAAGGATCATGTAACAGTGATAAAAACTCAACTTTTATTTCCTTTCAGCATAAAAGCTTACAAACTCCATTCCTAGAAGTAAACCATGAAATCACGAACATTAAGTCATCCTAATAACAAAGCAGTTTCTTCATTCAGATTTCTGCAAGCTAAGTCGCTCCGTTTTTACTAAGAAAGACGTCAGACAAATAACAGAAATAGAAAACACAGAGCACAGCAAAGTTTTGGTTGTTTCATATAGCAACTTCGGCGAAAAGACACTCCAGACGAACAAGTGATACCGCTGACTAAATACTAATGTACAGTAAACACAAAGGACCAGAGACTGGCAGACAGCGATGACGTAACACGCTTGGTAGAGAGAGACCTGTAAACTAAAGAAAATGATGAATAAAACGTTGGTTAGTGTACGTTTAAAATTAAGACTCTTGTAGCAAACTGGGCAGAGCCCGACAATGTAGGCACAGTACTCATATATTTGACAAAATTAGTTACGTTCTCATGGTCACGGTTAAGATTTCACACTTTTTCCAGGAACTTGATCTGGAATTTTCTCTCTACCGACCAAAGTTTTGCCTCGGGGTTTTGAGTCTTTGGAGGTAAAAAAGCAAATGAATTGATCCAGTTGCTTCAGATCATTTACCCTTCTGTATCAGAGAAGCCAACCGATCAAATAAAAGAGGAGAATTGTCGCTTTTTGTTACAGCTTGCGGATGAGTACCAAATGGACGCTATTGTTCGGACATGCGAAGATTACATTGTCACTACGTTGAAGAGAACGAGAAAAGGAATAATTGAAGAGCTGATATTTGCTCAGACATACAACTTACAGAAGCTGAAGCGGACGAGCATTGAACTGGCTAAAGATCTTAGCCTTCAAGAACTCAAACGTAACAAATTATACGGCAAAATCAATGCAGAGAACCTGCAAGGAATTTTGGAAGAAATAATAATCCGGCTTGAGAAAGAAGTGAGCTCATTTGAAGTTCCGAACCGTTCGGCACGCAAGTGGACAGATTGGTAGTAAACTTTAAAAAAAATAATACTTCACTGAAAGTAAGTAAATCTGTATTCTTGAATCGCAAGGTTTTTTCAACGAAACGTTGACAAAGAAATGACCGTAAGAGCTATTGTTTTCAAGTTCCTGGGAGAACTGTATATTTCCGCGAGCAACTAAGGCAAATTATGGGAGTCGATAGTTGAAAGTAAAATTCCTAAATTATATCAAACGAATTGCATAAATGCAAATAAATAATATTTGTCTTTGTATATGGTAGAAATGTTCCTTTTTGTTCTAGCCAGTTTACGGGTACCTCACTCAAAACAATTGCGGCAAGCTAAATGATCTAAACTTAATGAAACATAACTATTGTTAAAAGCCCCTAGTTTGCAAGAGGCAACCAGTTCGTTCTTTGCAAGCAAGCCTGAGAAGTTAAACTTAGGATTGCCGAGAACCGGAATCGTGCTGGTGATCTGAGGGGGTCTCGAGCGTGGGACAATGGGAAGTGCTAGTCCAACATGCTGACCACCTAGCACGCAGACACCCCCAACTACCCTTAATGCCGTAAATATTACGTTCTCAAAACAAGTAGCCGATGAGCAGCACAAATATATCCCAAGTGAGCAGTCAAGTCGTGTAATAAAGCAAAAGCGCACGTTTTATGGCCTATTTACAAGTGTAAACAACTTCGAACGGCTCTCTAAAAATTTGAACAAGCAGTAATAATATCTGTTCCAATTTTATCAGTTCGTTACCAAAAAGGATCCACATGCGCCCATGCTCCGCTCACAGAATAGAAGGCTTGAAAATCAGATGTGGCATCACCAACAAAACAAGCAGTTATCGCCTGTCCCAAAAATATGTCTATATTGCTGGCTAGACACTTGAGACGATGAACCGGGAAATGGGTAGACGCCTTTTTCTCCTCCAATGTCCTCCCCCCCCTCCCCCAACTCCAACCGCGAGCACTCCTTAAAGAGCCCTAACTCTTTTCACCTTTTGTTTCCAAATTATGTTCCAGGATCAAAACTAACGCTACGTGTTCTCTACGTGTTCTCTCCGGGGCGCTACAATTTATTTCGTGGACACATTGTAAGAAATTCTACATGGATCAATGGTATTTCATTCTGACTTTACAGGGAGAAGTTGATCCTTTTTTACTCCACAGGGCATTATAGAAATAATAAAGCCTACAAACAACGCACACAGCAAAGTTTCCTGATGTTTAGTACAATAACTTTGGGGAGAATACACTCCTGAGGAACAGCAGGTGATACCGCTGACAGAATTCCAGTGCAAGAGTGATGACGTAACACGCTTGGTAAAGAGATTCTGCAACCTATAGAAAGTAATGGACCAATGAAAAGTTCTAGGCTAAAAGATCTATCAAACGAACTAGGACGAGTCACCATCCATTAGATGCAACACAAGTGCTTCAAAGTAGACTTCTCAATTAAGAGATCAGTACAAAGTTGCGTCAGTCTTCTAAAATCGATACCCAGTTCCAGACCGAAACTATTTTTTTTGTGTGTAGTGCGGGAAGCCGGTTGTTTTGGTGTCAGTCGCAGGCTGACAGATGAAAAGTCTCTGGCAATCAAAGTAGACCAAACGGCCCATAAATATGTATGAATGTTCGTGTAATCATTTTGTTTTTTAACCTAGGTCTTAATCCAGGGGCGGTGCCTCGCATGGGACGTTAGTCCCGTTGCACCCACCCCTTTTGGGTTTTTGCTTCTTTTTTGTGTGTGTGTTTGTGTGTGTTGTATTACAAATTTATATTGTATTCACTAGAGGCGCACCCAATAAAGCTGTAAAAAACAACAACAAAAAATTACACCCTTCGACGTCGTCGAAACCTGTATGGCTTAAACGCGGAAGCGCTCTCGAACTAGCTAAAAAGGTTTTAACTAACAACTTTATATATTCAATCAGTGAGACAGGACATCGGCAAAGAACGTCCCAAAACTGCTGTTGTTATTCCCTGATCTTTTTTCTCAGTATTACTGGATAAAAGTCCTTGATCTCCTGTCAAGTGAACTGGCCGGTGTGTAAGTAACTTTACATGCTTCATCCCTGGCGTTTCGTATAACAGACAATTTGCAAGATTCCAGCCATCAGCCACAGACATGGACCGCAATAAGTGGCTGCATATGTGAGAGAGACCATAATACAGGGTACGAAATCCTCTAGCCCACATAGCCCGCAGAAATATCCACCGAGGCCAGGCTGTTTGAGTTCCCAAAGGAAAAGTACTTGGTATGGCCCATCCACAAGGAGCTGAAGGTAACGATCCACGACTTCTCTTTGCTACGGAGAAAGTGTACAAATACTAACAAATAACAAAACAGTAAGAGTTCATGATGTAATGAGAAAACTTGTTAAATTTCAAAAAGCACGATTAACTGAATCAATTCCTTTATAAGCGGCAGAGGTCGCGAAGGAGTCTTATAAAGAATTCAAACCTCACCCATAAAAAAAAACAAGATGTTGAAGGGACACCAAAGCTATAACATTCCAAAACCAAACAAGAACGTGTTGCGCATTGTTTCAGTTTGTTTGTGCGTTTATTGAAAAATTATCACTTAAGATCGCTTGATACGCCAAAAAGTAGTTTTGTTGCAATTGCTTTGATGTTGACCTTCAAAAATGCATCAATTCACCCAGGTGGGTACTCAACAAATATTTATAAGGGGAGGCTTCCTGGGCATGGAGCTGAATGACCTATATAACTTTTCAAAACGCTATTTTTGCACAAAATATTACATTCATCTCTGAATTAAGACCGTTTGGTTGTATATATATAGTTTTCATGCTAGCAGAAATGTTGTGTGAAGTACACAAAGAGTTCGTAAATGCTGCACGAAGGGAAACATGTTCAGTGCTTAGAGCTAGAGGATATAATGCCATGAGTACCCTCAGCTTTACAGAGATCATAAAAGAGATCCAAACTCTTCAGTCCCACAGTATTCAGTTTCCTCTCTCCGTAGGGTGGGTAGGAGAGGACCGTGGAAACGAGGTTGGCCATATCACGTGTCCCTGAGGCCCTGAGGATCCTACGTTCCGCGTCAAATTCGTTTTTGGTCCTTTGCATTTTTAATGTCAATTTAATCCCAGTCATAATTTGTTGAAATACTTCCGTAAACACAACATAAACTTTGTCGTTTCATGAATTCACGTATTGCTTCCCTCCGGCCTCTCCTTCCCGAAAGGGATGGGAAGGAGAAAAGCCGAAGCGTTTCACTAATTATGACGGGAATGCAGCCCGAAACCACATGAAAAAGATGTTAGATCTAGTTATGTGTGACGCGTTTTCAATTTACTTCCAGGAGGTAATAACGTAGAAATTGTGATTTCCGGGAATTGTGTGCAACTCTGAGAAATTAACAATTAATGAATGAGGCTGAGTATCTTATGAAGAATTATGGACGGCCGAGGCGGATAACACCCTCCCAGATCTCCATAATTCTTCATATAATACGAAAGCCGAATTCAATAATTGTTTTATTATTCATTCAAAATAATTCCTAGTTTAAAACAAAGCTAAAACATGCTTACCTCCATCGATGTTAAGTTCACCTTGGACAGTGCACATTTAGGGTTGTTCAGCTCCGCAAATACTTCTCCAAACAACTCAACCTCGTCCCCAGGTCTTCTCGGTTAACGGTGCCTTAACCTGCAAGAACGCTGCATTTTTGACGTCATTTCCTCGTTAAACACAAAATTCTTCCAAATTTGGACATCGGTAACTGGTTATGGATGTGCTTTTAGCCAATCAGAATCGGGGAAATGAATAATAATATGAATGAATAATAATGTTAGGTAATGTTTATAATACTGGGGTGTATTTTTAATTCAGGGAACGCTCTTTTAAACGCTGAATTAATCATGAGCTACTGTATAATAGCAGTCTGGTGGAAATCGTCAATGTTAATCGTCCTCCTTCAGTGTTGTGAAATTAAATCTGCCAAAAGTTTTTAGTATTGGGTTGACTTGAAATCCGCCAATGGCAGATAAAGAAAGTAACGGAGAAAGGCAAGATTTTACCAAGCATGGAAATTTAGCGATGTCGTTCTCGTGGTTGAAGGTGAAAAACTCCATGTTCACCGAGCTGTGCTTGCCTTGTGCTCCCCCGTTTTCGAGACGATGTTTACGTCCGAATTTCAGGAAAAAGAGAAGAAAGAAATTTCCCTTCCCGGTAAAAAGGCTAACGAAGTGAAGGAGTTGCTTCAGGTTATTTACCCTATTGTAGAAAGGAAGCCACCCGATGAAATAAAAGACGAAAATTGCCACTACCTCTTAAGCCTCGCACATGAATATCAAATAGAAGCCATTTCTCAGAGATGCGAAGACTTCATTGTCAAAATAATGAAGGAATCTTTTCCAGCGAAAAAGAATCCGGATATCATCGCAGAGCTGGTATTTGCACAGACGTACAACTTAAGGAAGCTAAAGCAAGCAAGCATTGAACTGGCTCAAAGTCTTACCCTTCCAGAGTTAAAAAAGCAAAAAGGTTACGATGAAATCCATTCAGAGAATCTTCAGGAAATTATGGAAAGCATAATAACACGGCTACAGAGTCAATTGACTGACACTCAGATTAAATTAAGTGAAGCTGAGAGGTCTCTATCTTATTGCCGTAAAATACCTCATCCAAAAACTCGTTAATTGAAATTGCTGGTTGGACTGGCCCGAAGGAAAATTAATATTGCATCCATCAAGAACCAAGCAGGTCATCACAACGTTAATGTTTCTTTTTACTGTTTTTCATTTGCATGCACTTAACTCTGAATAAATAAAATACCAGTTTTAGCCCGTGGGGGAGGGTACTCATGGGTGCCTTGATCGCCAGTTAGTTCACGGAGCGCCAAGAGTCACAGCAGCCAAATTATAAGGATTTGGATAGGGAACCCACACTCCTACTTGTAAACTGCACATTGAAAATAAATGGGCGATAAAAACTTACCTGTTGTGTTCTTGAATCTGCAGCTGGACAAAGTAAAATTGAAGTGGATATTTATAAGAAATTGCTTAAAGTGAAACGAACAATTTCTAATGAATAGCCACTTGCCGTCTTAGTTAAATAAAAAAAAAAGCATAAAGCGAAAGTCTTGCTTTGAGTTGCTTCGAGGAACGTTCATCCATGACAGCCTTTAGACGCTAATCGCCTTTCTTTTGATTATTACTTTTTTCCATAATTCGTGCCTTAATTGAATACCGCTTGAATGAAATTTAAGGCGCCTTTTTTATATTTTCTTTATCTCTGCCGAAAAAATTTGTAAGTACGAAAGAGTTCTCGTTTCTTCCACACAGACTAGTAGCTTTTCGAGCCCGAGTTAGCTTTTTTTTAAAAAAACGGGTTAAGTTGTTCTAACGCTTATGATTTGTAATCTATGAAGTCTATCGCACATTTTTCAGTGAATGCACCCCCTGAGCATCTGTGTAGGTTTAAGCAATTTATAGTACAAGACTCAGAGTATTGTGCTGCCTCTTCAAAGAAAACAACGGCCCCTCTGGTACTTTTTTTTAAATCAGATTCTGTTATGCATAAGTGTATTCAAAGCTGAATTTACAAATAACTGGGCCCGAATCAAAGAAGAACGAATAATAAACTTACGGCGAACACAGAAGTCGGCCAGCTTTTTCTTTTAGGTCTTTTCTTTAGGACAGTATTCTATTGACTCTAACATTCGATATCGTCAACTGTAAATTGGCTACCCAAGAGCATCGTGCTTAAAAAAGATTTTTTTCCTTTACCGATTATCAGTCATTTTCACTTAATTACCTCGAACTCTAACTTAAATTTCACGCAAATCATTTTCCCCACCCGCGACTTTGGACCTGCGACTGCGACTTTCGACCTGCGACCCGCGATCTGAGAACATGTATGATTTGAAATTTTCAGATGTCAGTCTGACAAAGTTTGTGCCAAATTATAATTTTGTGTTGTGTAAGTGAAATGATAGAAATTTGAGCTTGTTGATTTGGGGGCGTCGTAAAGTTTGAATACCTTGCAATAATAAAACGTCATAGACTCCACAACAACGACACTCAGAGGACCTGTGATTTCTCGGCTCCGCTTAGTATTTCTTTGGTGACTAAAACAGAAGGGTCATATAATGAATTTATTCGTGGCATTCCTGACACCCGGGAGGAAACAAGATAAAAGAGCGAGGCAGAATCAACCAAAAGATAGCCTGTTCCAGGCGTTCAGATAGTGGGGAGCGGTGCGAAGTAAAAAGGAGCGCGAAAAAAATAAAAGCGAGGGAGGGGGAGAGGTGAGAGAGGTTCCCGCACCTCTCTTCCCAGTCCCCCTCTACTTTTTATCGCTTTCTTTGCTTCGCACCGCTCTCCACTATCTGAACGCTTGGAACAGGCTAACCAAAAAAACGATCTAACAGAGGAAAATAAAGGTAAAAGGATCATGTAACAGTGATAAAAACTCAACTTTTATTTCCTTTCAGCATAAAAGCTTACAAACTCCATTCCTAGAAGTAAACCATGAAATCACGAACATTAAGTCATCCTAATAACAAAGCAGTTTCTTCATTCAGATTTCTGCAAGCTAAGTCGCTCCGTTTTTACTAAGAAACACGTCAGACAAATAACAGAAATAGAAAAAACAGAGCACAGCAAAGTTTTGGTTGTTTCATATAGCAACTTCGGCGAAAAGACACTCCAGACGAACAAGTGATACCGCTGACTAAATACTAATGTACAGTAAACACAAAGGACCAGAGACTGGCAGACAGCGATGACGTAACACGCTTGGTAGAGAGAGACCTGTAAACTAAAGAAAATGATGAATAAAACGTTGGTTAGTGTACGTTTAAAATTAAGACTCTTGTAGCAAACTGGGCAGAGCCCGACAATGTAGGCACAGTACTCATATATTTGACAAAATTAGTTACGTTCTCATGGTCACGCTTTTTCCAGGAACTTGATCTGGAATTTTCTCTCTACCGACCAAAGTTTTGCCTCGGGGTTTTGAGTCTTTGGAGGTAAAAAAGCAAATGAATTGATCCAGTTGCTTCAGATCATTTACCCTTCTGCATCAGAGAAGCCAACCGATCAAATAAAAGAGGAGAATTGTCGCTTTTTGTTACAGCTTGCGGATGAGTACCAAATGGACGCTATTGTTCGGACATGCGAAGATTACATTGTCACTACGTTGAAGAGAACGAGAAAAGGAATAATTGAAGAGCTGATATTTGCTCAGACATACAACTTACAGAAGCTGAAGCGGACGAGCATTGAACTGGCTAAAGATCTTACTAAGATCTTTAGAACTCAAACGTAACAAATTATACGGCAAAATCAATGCAGAGAACCTGCAAGGAATTTTGGAAGAAATAATAATCCGGCTTGAGAAAGAAGTGAGCTCATTGAACAACTGGGGCCAGAAGCGTTCGGCACGCGAGTGGAAAGATTGGTAGTAAACTTTAAAAAAAATAATACTTCACTGAAAGTAAGTAAATCTGTACTCTTGAATCGCAAGGTTTTTTCAACAAAACGTTGACAAAGAAATGACCGTAAGAGATATTGTTTTCAAGTTCCTGGGAGAACTGTATATTTCCGCGAGCAACTAAGGCAAATTATGGGAGTCGATAGTTGAAAGTAAAATTCCTAAATTATATCAAACGAATTGCATATAAATGCAAATAAATAATATTTGTCTTTGTATATGGTAGAAATGTTCCTTTTTGTTCTAGCCAGTTTACGGGTACCTCACTCAAAACAATTGCGGCAAGCTAAATGATCTAAACTTAAAACTTAGGATTGCCGAGAACCGGAATCGTGCTGGTGATCTGAGGGGGTCTCGAGCGTGGGACAATGGGATTGCTAGTCCAACATGCTGACCACCTAGCAACGCAGACATCCCCAACTACCCTTAATGCCGTAAATATTACGTTCTCAAAACAAGTAGCCGATGAGCAGCACAAATATATCCCAAGTGAGCAGTCAAGTCGTGTAATAAAGCAAAAGCGCACGTTTTATGGCCTATTTACAAGTGTAAACAACTTCGAACGGCTCTATAAAAATTTGAACAAGCAGTAATAATATCTGTTCCAATTTTATCCGTTCGTTACCAAAAAGGATCCACAAGCGCCCATGCTCCGCTTACAGAATGGAAGGCTTGAAAATCAGATGTGGCATCACCAACAAAACAAGCAGTTATCGCCTGTCCCAAAAATATGTCTATATTGCTGGCTAGACTCTTAACACGATGAATAGGGGAATGGGTAGACGCCTTTTTCTCCTCCACTGTTCCCCCCCCCCCCTCCCCCAACTCCAACCGCGAGCACTCTTTAAAAAGCCCTAACTCTTTTCACCTTTTGTTTGCAAATTATGTTCCAGAATCAAAACGAACACTACGTGTTCTCTATCTCCACCAAGTTTATTAACTTTAAAAAAGCAAGAAAGACGGCAGGGCCGAGTTGTTCAAAGCTGGGTTAAGATAACCCAGGGTTAGTGAGAGATTTGAATTCAGATTTGAAAGCTTAAAAAGCATTTCAGTTTCAGTTCTTTTTGTCTACAAGTTGATGACTGGAAGCTCTAAAAATAGCAGAGAAAATTATCCGAGAAAATGCTTTTGAACCCAAGAAAAAGAAACCGGGTTAAGCGCTAATCGGCTTTCGAACAACTGGGCCCAGGGTGCTACAATTTATTTCGTGGACACATTGTAAGAAATTCTACGTGGAACAATGGTATTTCATTCTGACTTTACATGGAGAAGTTGATCCTTTCTTACTCCACAGTGCATTATAGAAATAATAAAAGATACAAACAACGAACACAGCAAAGTTTCCTGATGTTTCGTACACTAACTTTGGGGAGAATACACTCCAGACGAACAGCAGGTGATACCGCTGACAGAATTCCAATGTAAGAGTGATGACGTAACACGCTTGGTAAAGAGATTCTGCAACCTATAGAAAGTAATGGACCAATGAAAAGTTCCAGGCTAAAAGATCTATCAAACGAAATAGGACGAGTCACTATCTATTAGATGTAACACAAGTGCTTCAAAGCGGACTTCTCGATTAAGAGATCAGTACAAAGTTGCGTCAGTCTTCTAAAATCTATACCCAGTTCCACAATACCCAGTGAAAGGAAACAAGTTCAGTGCTCAGAGCTAGAGGATATGGTGCCTTGAGTACCCTCAGCTTTACAGAGATCATAAAATAGATCCAAAATCCATCTCTCCGTAGGGCGGGTTGGAGAGGACCCTGGGAACGAGGCTAGCCATATCACGTGTCCCCGAGGCCTCGAGGATCCTACGTTCCGCGTCAAATTCGTTTTCGGTCCTTGACATTTTTAATATCAATTTAATCCCAGTTATAATTTGTTGAAATACTTCCGGGAAACACAACATAAACTTAGTCGTTTCATGAATTCACGCATTGCTTCCCTGGCTCCTTCGCGAAAGGGAACGGAAAGAAAAATTCCTCAAGCTTTTCAACAATTATGACCGGGACTGCAGCCCGAAACCAAGAAGATGTTAGATCTTGTCATGCGTGATTTGTTTTCAATTTACTTCCAGGCAGGAGGTAATAACGGAGAAATTTTGATTTCCTGGAATTGTGTGTAAATCTGAGAAATGTTTACAATACTGGGATGTATTTTTAATTCTGGGAAACACTCTTTTGAATGCTGAATTAATCATGAGCTACTGTATAGTAACCGTCTGGTGGAAACTATAATCATCAATGTTAGTCATCCTCCTTCAATGTTGTGAAATTAAGTCTGCCAAAAGTTTTTAGCATTGGGTTAACTTTTAATCCACCAATGGCAGATAAAGAAAGTAACTGTGAACCTCAAGATTTTACACAGCCATGGAAATTTAGCGATGTCGTTCTCGTGGTCGAAGGTGAAAAACTCCATGTTCACCGAGCTGTGCTTGCCTTGTGCTCCCCCGTTTTCGAGACGATGTTTACGTCCGAATTTCAGGAAAAAGAGAAGAAAGAAATTTCCCTTCACGGCAAAAAGGCTAACGAAGTGAAGGAGTTGCTTCAGGTTATTTACCCTACTGTAGAAAGGAAGCCACCAGATGAAATAAAAGAGGAAAATTGCCACTACCTCTTAAGCCTCGCACATGAATATCAAATGGCAGCCATTACTCAGAGATGCGAAGACTTCATTGTCAAAATAATGAAGGAATCTTTTTCAGTGAAGAAGGATCCGGATATCATTGCAGAGCTGGTATTTGCACAGACGTACAACTTAAAGAAGCTAAAGCAGGCAAGCATTGAACAGGCTCAAAGTCTTGCTCTTCCAGAGTTGAAAAAGCAAAAAGGTTACGATGAAATCCGTTCAGAGAATCGTCAGGAAATTATGGAAAGAATGATAACACGGCTACAGAGTCAATTGACTGACACTCAGACTAAATTAAGTGAAGCTAAGCGGTCTCTATCTTATTTCCAACTGCGATAAAACACCTCATCAGATTACTGGTTGGACTGGAGGAAAATATTGCACAGGGGCGCACAGGGGCACACAGCGTCAATTTTTGGAAAATATCTGTTCTGTGGACGATTTGAGATCTAGCATTTTCGGAACATTTTTGTGTAAAATTTCTCGCTTGCCTGCCTCTCCAAGGATTTTCGAACATCTAAAAAATTGGTATAATTGGCCATTTTTAACGGATTTTTACCCTAAAAAGATCATCTAAGTAGTCTAGTGTGTTGAAAATTAAGCATCATTGGTGGATTCCCTTTGGATTCCCTCGCAAAAAGTGGATTTCCTTCATTACATAATATGCAGGATTCCCTCCTTACGTAGTAAGTGTCTTCCTCCATATCTAATTATGTGGATAGTCGTTTCTTTTCTTTTGAAAGAACACAATAGGAACAATAGGCTTGCCTAGACTTGTCCGGTAAGTAACTTGAGCCCGGTTTACCGGAATGTCTATTACACCTAGCAACGCGAGAAACGGCTTACTATATCTTATTTAGCGTTTGAAAAAAATCGGATACATCAACAGAACACATACACAAAGTGGTGCTGAAAAGTCTTTATTTCAATTTTGTCTGACAATTACAGATCTAGAACCGTTTTTTCCTGTCTATCTCGGGGACATGAAAAACGATTAAAGTCTTGTCATTTTCACGCACTGTTAGTCAGTTAATTGTGCGAGTTCACAAGCCCAAAGTTGAATACAAATTAATTCATCTCTACAGCTAAACCCAAGGGAGCACCTTGACGTAAAAATATCATCTAAACAATTTTTTTTACGCAGTTTTCAATGGAATCAAACCACTATGAGATGAAGCCGCGTTTCCAAAGCTTACATTTTCTTAAAAAATTAGCTAATTGTGTGGATAGCATGCTATTTCACTGTTTTTATGATGCTTAAAACTTCGTTTCAAAATATTTCGCAAACGCTCTCTTAGAATTTGTTCAAACTTTGACGTAATTGAGGCACTTATCGCAGGTATAAATTCCCTTAAGCGATTTCTTAAAAAAACCCCTGGTACAGAGAATCACAAAGATAAATAAAAAACGTAATGGCGTCCTTACGTTGCCATGGCGACTCCGATTGCAATAAAACCCAGATCATAAGAAATTTTCATCTTTATATAATACAGTTGTGGTAACCCTTTTCCCATATCTTTACTCATGGCAACGTAGTTAAGGCTCAAACTTGGGAGGTATCCCCCCCAAAAAAATCCAGTCGAGCCACCTTAGCAAGGATCAATTAAAACACGCGACTAATAATTGCTAGCAATAAAACCACAAGAGAGATACCGTTTTAAAAACTTTATTAAAAACCAATAACGAGAAGAGTCAAATACACAGCGATTTGAAAGGAAAAAGAACGAAAATTAATCCTTTGACTGACTATTAAAAATCCGTTTTTTGCATTCTATTTCGAGGGGTAATAAATAATCCTTCCGTGTCTACACAATTTCCCTATGGATTCTAAGCCAAGAGTTCGACTTTCTTTGTTTCTCGCGCTTTGTCTTGTTCTTTGTAGTTGGTCTTTTAGCTTCATTTCTCTGTGATCTTGACAGTTCGTACACCGTTTCTTGTGTCTGTACTAGACTGCGATAGTGTTTTTTTCCGGAATTATCCGCTTCACTTTCGTAAACGACGACCTCAACTGTAGGTTGCAGTTTCGCCTCTTGTAAATACTGTCTTCACTGTATGTGGTCTAACTGATGAACATCCGCGAGATGGTTAGCTAATCTGACAAGGTACTTCGCCCCTCAAGATGAAATCGGACAGTTCTTAGCCTTCAAGAACTCAAACGTAACAAATTTTACGGCAAAATCAATGCAGAGAACCTGCAAGGAATTTTGGAAGAAATAATAATCCGGCTTGAGAAAGAAGTGAGCTCATTTAAAGTTCCGAAGCGTTCGGCACGCGAGTGGAAAGATTGGTAGTAAACTTTAAAAAAATGATACTTCACTGAAAGTAAGTAAATCTGTACTCTTGAATCGCAAGGTTTTTTCAACAAAACGTTGACAAAGAAATGACCGTAAGAGCTATTGTTTTCAAGTTCCTGGGAGAACTGTATATTTCCGCGAGCAACTAAGGCAAATTATGGGAGTCGATAGTTGAAAGTAAAATTCCTAAATTATATCAAACGAATTGCATATAAATGCAAATAAATAATATTTGTCTTTGTATATGGTAGAAATGTTCCTTTTTGTTCTAGCCAGTTTACGGGTACCTCACTCAAAACAATTGCGGCAAGCTAAATGATCTAAACTTAATGAAACATAACCATTGTTAAAAGCCCCTAGCTTGGAAGAGGCAACCAGTTCGTTCTTTGCAAGCAAGCCTGAGAAGTTAAACTTAGGATTGCCGAGAACCGGAATCGTGCTGGTGATCTGAGGGGGTCTCGAGCGTGGGACAATGGGAAGTGCTAGTTCAACATGCTGACCACCTAGCACGCAGACACCCCCAACTACCCTTAATGCCGTAAATATTACGTTCTCAAAACAAGTAGCCGATGAGCAGCACAAATATATCCCAACTGAGCAGTCAAGTCGTGTAATAAAGCAAAAGCGCACGTTTTATGGCCTATTTACAAAGTGTAAACAACTTCGAACGGCTCTATAAAAATTTGAACAAGCAGTAATAATATCTGTTCCAATTTTATCCGTTCGTTACCAAAAAGGATCCACATGCGCCCATGCTCCGCTCACAGAATAGAAGGCTTGAAAATCAAATGTGGCATCACCAACAAAACAAGCAGTTATCGCCTGTCCCAAAAATATGTCTATATTGCTGGCTAGACACTTGAGACGATGAACCGGGAAATGGGTAGACGCCTTTTTCTCCTCCATTGTCCTCCCCCCCACCGCTCCCCCAACTCCAACCGCGAGCACTCTTTAAAGAGCCCTAACTCTTTTCACCTTTTGTTTGCAAATTATGTTCCAGAATCAAAACGAACGCTACGTGTTCTCTACGTGTTCTCTCCGGGGCGCTACAATTTATTTCGTGGACACATTGTAAGAAATTCTATATTGATCAATGGTATTTCATTCTGACTTTACAGGGAGAAGTTGATCCTTTCTTACTCCACAGTGCATTATAGAAATAATAAAGCCTACAAACAACGAACACAGCAAAGTTTCCTGATGTTTAGTACAATAACTTTGGGGAGAATACACTCCAGACGAACAGATAATACCGCTGACAGAATTCCAGTGCAAGAGTGATGACGTAACACGCTTGGTAAAGAGATTCTGCAACCTATAGAAAGTAATGGACCAATGAAAAGTTCCAGGCTAAAAGATCTATCAAACGAACTAGGACGAGTCACCATCCATTAGATGCAACACAAGTGCTTCAAAGTAGACTTCTCAATTAAGAGATCAGTACAAAGTTGCGTCAGTCTTCTAAAATCGATACCCAGTTCCAGACCGAAACTATTTTTTTTTGTGTAGTACGGGAAGTCGATTGTTTTGGTGTCAGTCGCAGGCTGACAGATGAAAAGTCTCTGGCAATCAAAGTAGACCAAAGGGCCCATAAATATGTATGAATGTTCGTGTAATCATTTTATTTTTTAACTTAGGTCTTAATCCAGGGGCGGTGCCTCTCATGGGACGTTAGTCCCGTTGCACCCACCCCTTTTGGCTTTTTGCTTCTTTTTTTTTTGTGTGTGTGTGTGTGTGTGTGTGTGTTGTATTACAAATTTGTATTGTATTCACTAGAGGAGCACCCAATAAAGCTGTAAAAAACAACAACAAAAAATTACACCCTTCGACGTCGTCAAAACCTGTATGGCTTAAACGCGGAAGCTCTCTAGAACTAGGTTTTAACTAACAACTTTATATATTCAATCAGTGAGATAGGACATCGGCAAAGAACGTCCCAATACTGCTGTTGTTATTCCCTGATCTTTTTTCTCAGTATTACTGAATAAAAAAAGTCCTTGATCTCCTGTCAAGTGAACTGGTGTGAAAGTAACTTTAAATACCTTGCTTCATCCCTGGCGTTTCTTATAACAGACAAGATTCCAGCCATCAGCCACAGACATGGACCCCAATAAGTGGCTACATATGTGAGAGGGATCGTAATACAGGGTACGAAATCCTCTAGCCCCACATAGCCCGCAGAAATATCCACCGAGGACGGCTGTTTCAAGGGAAAAGTACATCGCATGGCCCATCCACAAGGAACTGAGGGTAACGATCTACGACTTCTCTTGGAGAAAATGTAATAAACAATAAGAAATAACAAAACAGCAAGAGTTCATGATGTAATGAAAAAACTTGTCAAATCTCAAAAGCAAGATTAACTGAATCAATTTGCTTCACAAGCAACAGAGTTCGCGAAGGAGTCTTATAAATAATTCAAACCTCACCCATAAAAAAAAAACAAGATGTTGAAGGGACACCAAAGTTATAACATTCCAAAATCAAACAAGAAAGTGTTGCGCATCATTTCAGTTTGTTTGTGCGTTTATTGAAAAATTGCCACTTAACATTCCTAGATCATAGTTTTTTTGCAATTGCTTTGATGTTGACCTTCAAAAATGCATCAATTTAATTACCTAGAGGAGTACTCAACAAATGTTTATAAGGGGAGGCTCCCTTGGCATGGAGCTGAATGACCTATATAACTTTTTAAAACGCTATTTTTGCACAAAATATTATATCAGTGTCTGAATTAAGACCGTTTGGTTGTATATATATTTTTTCATGCTAGCAGAAATGATGTATGAAGTCCACAAAGAGTTTGTAAATGCTGCACGAAGGGAAACAAGTTCAGTGCTTAGAGCTAGAGGATATGATGCCATGACTACCCTCAGCTTTACAGGGATCAGAAAAGAGATCCAAACTCTATGTCCCAAATAATTCAGTTTCCTCTCTCCGTAGTGCGGGTAGGAGAGGACCCTGGGAACGAGGTTAGCAATATCACGTGTCCCCGAGGCCTTGGGGATCCTACGTTCCGCGTCAAATTCGTTTTCGGTCCTTTGC